CTAAGCAACGCCCACTGCCCGGCCGAGCGGCGGCGAGCGGCGCCGCGGTCCTCCCTACCCCTCCCCCCCGGGGGAATGAAAATGTAATTGTTTTAATATAGACTTATATTTGTTAATAAACTTAATATTTATCTAATTTTCTTAATCTTCAGTTTATCTCATATTTATAAATTTATACAAATTCAGAAAACATGTATACATTTCTAATCTATATAAATTGTGTACATCTAAAACGTCGGCTGAAGCGCTAGACGCCTGCATAAGCACCCCTGCTTTGCGTGCTTCTGAAGGAGCCCTCGCTGGCAGCCTGCCCCGGCCGCAGGTACCACCCGTTGGGTGCTGTGCAAAACAGCTGCGCTCCTGCCCCTTGCGCTGAGGTGCGCGCCGGAAACGTCATCGCTGCTACGAGCGGCGCGAGGTTTCTCGCAAGCAGCCTATGCCTCGGCGTTTACCTGATCTGCAAGGTTAAATAATAATACGTGCAAGAGAAAAGCCTTTGCCAGACTCCTCTTGCACTCAACAGCATCTACAGCAGGAGGTTTAAACAAAGAACCATCTCACCCAGGATGGTCCCATACCCGAATGCATTCAAGTCCTTTCCCAGTTATTCTTGCTTCATGTCAAGAAGCAATACATTGCTTTGAACACGTTTTATCATCACACTGCACGACAACTATCTCCCGAAAGACAGAACAGCACGTCTTGAACCTGCATCAAGCCTGCTGTGGATCAGCTGTGATTAGCTCAGAGTTGTAACCTCATCTTGGATGGGAGATGAGTAGTGCTCGATGCCATCCCAAGACAGGAACAATTCAGGGCATGACATCTGCAAGTGGGCATTCAGAAGAAGGAAAACTACAGCGCAGCTAACCCAGGCCTCAGGACCATTAGGCATGTACACAAGGAGTCCTTCATAAGAGGTTCATTACATTTCATTGTACGTTCCTTTTATAAAGCAAAAGCTAGATATCTGGATTCCCTTAACCAAGTAACAATAAGAAAGGTTCTTAGATTGTTGGGGGGGGGGGGGGGGGGACTTTTTTGCTTTCTTTTTCATACACCATTTATACTGACTGAAGTTTGATTCTCTTCCAAATTCATTTGCAAGTTAAAATTCTTTAGTTTTTTGTAAAGGAAGAAAAGAATTTGTGCTAGGTTTACATGCTGTACTAGAAGTTTATACTTAAACCATTATTATACAAGGAAGTAGTATTGCGTCTTGCAATAGCAATTCCCATCTAAGGGCTTTGCCGGTCTTTAATAGGAATTTAGGACTCACCTCAAACAAGTTCCATATATATCTATCTTCCTCATGGAACTCAGAGAAGCAGGATCAATCTTAAAGTTGCAGCAGTAGCACCACCAAAAAAAGAACTGAATCACTCCTCTGTAACCTCCGTCCTTCTCTGGAGGATATGTCCACCTTGAAACTATGTGTAGAATCTGTAGCAGTTGCAAATGCACACAGCTGTCACCAGTGAAGGTCCAACACACCTGACAGTATCACTTACTCAGAAGGAAGAAGCCAACCAAGTGACTTCAGTTCGGGCAGTGAATTCAAGAACAGCCTTTTTACCAGGCATTCCTTCCTGGAGGGGGGAAGAAAATGGCCTGTATCAACAAATCCAAGAAAAAGGGGCCTTAAGGAAGTCACCTACTATTTCCCTCTTCCCCAAAACTATGTCAACTATATCCAAACCCAGCATTTCTCAGTTCATGGATCCAAAGATAGTTTCCAGTGGCGTAAAGACAGCACCTTTAGAAATTATACAGTACACTGCAGGGCACAGATTGAACTTCTTTGAAAGCAAAAGAGAAGTACTTCACACGCCACGGGGTTTTTTGTTTTTTTTTTTTTACAGGGTGGGAGGAAAACTCTTGATACTATGGGTGTTTGCCTGATCTGATCATACAGGCTTTGGGGGGGGAAGGGAAAAAAAACAACAAAAAAAACCCCAAAAACAACACTTTCAGGAAATCTCCTTACTGTGACTTTAAATTCCATCACTTCTTGTCCTAGTCCCTTCCTCTTTGAAACAGCTTTTGATTTATTTGGAGACTCACGACTTCTTCAGTTTTCCCCTTTTTTTGGAAAGACGACTGGAATTGCTTAAATCCTTCTCACATGGGGTGATGTTTCTTGAACCTCAGATCTGTTGTTGTTTTGCCAGTTGGTCTACATCTATTTCGAGACATAGTCCTTAAGATCAGGCACAGTACTACCGCTGCTCAGTCTTACCAATGCTGAGCAGACAAGAAGAAACACCCAACAGTACACAACTTATCCTCATTTATGTATACAGATACCTACTTTTTTACAGCAGCAGCATATTGTCAATGTAACACTCTTTCTCATCCCTTTCTGCGTAACTGCTATCTGGCAAATTTGTTCACAGTCTGTATTTGACTGCTCCTACACAAGCATAGAAACTTATGTGTTTGTTCACAGTGAACCACATGGGGGGAGGGAAGAGAAAGACACATCTCCGCTTTAAATCCTTTTACCACCACTGATTTGTGGTTGGTTTTGAACAGACCTTAGTCTCACTTAGATTACCCTTACACAGCTTCCTTATGAGACACAGTATCAAAAAGTATACAAAAAGCTAAGGTACTTACAGTTTCTCCTAACTTCTCCATCAAAGTAATATTATTTTAGCACGTTTTGTTCTTGACAAAGAGAGTAGTGGAGTATTCTTATCATTCATCATCTTGTCTATGTGCTTATAAAAAAGTTTTTTTAATAATGCGTGGATATGGAGGGTAGGAGAAAGAACTCAAGTTCAGCTCACAGGTCTACAATTCATCTCTGCCTTTCCCTTCTTTTCAAAGGTACAGCATCTATTTTCAGTATTCTAGTACCTTATCTGTCCTCCGATTCTCAGAGAATTGTAAAAATTCTGAGATCACTCAAAGTATTCTATGATTGATTTCACCTTGCCTCATTATTTGAAAACATCTAATCTAAGTACTCTCTAATCCATTCTTTCAAAACTCTAGCCAGTGGCCTACTGTTTTTCTCCCTGGTCACCAGCATTGTATAAGCCATTTGATTAAAATCAATCTTGATTTAGATAAAGATTTAGATAAAAACAGCACTGGCTTTCTTAGCTCATTTGCTGGTTACTGATATGCCATTCAATGGAAAATAAATTCTTTTTCTGACCTTCCTCTGACTAGAGACGTGCTGACTGAATGGTTGCTTGTTACCTTTAGCCTTACTTCATTTCACATACATACATACACACATAAGCACACACCCTGAGTATGAAGGAATTGAATAACCTAGACTCATTCCCACTTTCCCCATGTTCCCTGTGTTTAACTTGGAAGTCAATTAAAAGCTTGCAATTCAACTCATTTTCAGTCCTTGGTTACATTGCGTTATTTGTTTTCCAGATCTTCCTTTGCTTTTGGTCTGCCCCAAGAGGGAAAATCTGATTTAGGGCCAAACAGCTAGCACAATTGTTTTAGACCCTACAAGGTTCTAGTCATTAACTGTAAACAGAAGAAAGGACCCAGACCTTAGACCTCAGGAGACCACAGCAGGAGCGGTATGGATGTCCAGAAGGGCAACAGCTGCAACTTCACCTGACATTTCTGTATGTCTAGTGAGCAGCTCTGTGTCCAGTAACAGTCTTCCTGAGGAAGACCGCTTTTGTCAGTGAAATGCTATGACAAGTAAGCAGCGTTCCTACTTAGCCTCTCTCCTTGGAGCTTTGCACCCTATGCACCCTCTGATAACAGCGGAAAAGTTTTAGTATGCTGCTTATGTTCTTTATATTCGAGTGAAAAGGGGACGACACACTTAGCAGGCACACACTGAAGGACTACTCTAACTAGGAGAAGCATTATTCCTTTCTACAGTACATATAAACACTGACATAACAAAATAAATATATTTAGCAAAATGAAAGAAGCAAAAAAAGCACAGCAACATGGAAGAGAGATACAGTAGAAGAATTTGCAGTTGTAGGTAACCAGAGTATTTTCCTTCTACTCCACTTCAACAGGAAGGCCTTACACCAATGCCAGGATATTTCACAAACATTTTGTGGAACCTTCTTCTCACAGATATTCTAGAGAGCATATATTCACTAACAGAAACTTCCAAGACCCCATATAGAACACAGATATTAAAAGGAGAAAAGGAAGTCTCAAGGTGTAATAGCTGCTCCACAAGAGAAACCTTATACTAAGATTTTAACAAAGTTGCCTGGCCCACAGATCAGATATTTCTTCATCGTTTAAGTCATACCAATCAAACAAGCAAATGAACGCTATCAGAACGCGCTACTTGCTTAGGACAGCATCATCCTTCATTTACCTCACTGCCTTTTTAAGGAGATCCTTCTTTAGAAGGAGGAGATAAAGAGGTGTGATTTTATCTACTAAATTACCGTTAGAGTGGCCACTGCTAGCACAGGGCTGAAGACCTGGGATGTCTTTTATCAATTCCTGAACACGTAAGTCTTTCAAAATTAAAAACAGTCAAACACTAAAACTGCTTAGAGCAATCAAAACATTACACAAACAGAGCCATTAAAATGAGACAATCTGGGTTCTCTTGAAAATTCTAAGATAACTAGGAGAAAGATGTTTGTCTCAGCGGTTGCACCAAGGAAGACTAATGCAGAAATGGGTTTATATTTTCTTCCTTAAACAGGAGAAACATAAAAACAAGAAAGTACATACAAATGGCCAAAGAAATTACAGATCAGAAGGGTTTTCCCCCATCCCTTTCTCGCAGTGGCAAAATGGTCCTTTCCACGTAACACCTAAGTCAGAAGTAGAGGCCACTGAAAATGGAACTTCGCACGCAGTCCTTGACAGGATGAGGCAAGTCTTGCTCAGCCTCTTAGGCATGACCAATTTGCTGTGAGGGTAGTATACACCACAGCTCAACAGCAATATTTTGTAAACAATAAAACAAAACGCTCCCCTCTGTGCCATGTGGTTGCCTACAAACGCTGCTTTCCCACCCTATCAACAGGACATTTCATTAATTCAAAAAGCAGCGCTTCTGAAGAGACTGAGGTTCCTCTCTGCGGCTGGCAAGAACTAAACGTGTAACTAAAGTCATTGCTAATAATTTCTGGATGTGCTGCTTCCCATTTCTAAAACACTTTATGCAAAAGTCTGAAGAGGGAACAAACTAAAGATGTTAGATGAAAATAGCAATAGCTAGGAACTTCTAGATGATGCAATCTTCTCCATCCCTACCCAACAGAAAGCGAGAAACGTTCTCATTTTCACTTCTCAGCAGCTCAGCTTACAATGCATTCAAGGCATTGAAGCCTGACAGGGTCCATAACTACCCCTTAAAAGGACTATTACCTCTACTGCCAGGGAAGCCTGGATAGCTCCAGCTGCCATACAAAATTCAAGAGGAAAACCCACAATGGCACTTTTTTCTGGTATACCTCTGCTGTCTGCTGGTGGAGATGACTAAGTTCTCAAATAACCTGGGCCGTTCCATCTGCTGGCTGAAATACGGGAAAAATGATGCACACATTTAAACAGTTCATTCACCCAGGAAAGGGCAGTGATACATACAAACTAATACATTATACCAGCTGAGTAGGTCACAAATGATCACGGAAGCCTACGTTTTGCACGTCAGCCACCTAGCATGACGCAAGTTTTTTCTCCTGCAATCCCAATTTTGCTTTGGAGATCAAGCTTCTGTACATTCATTTAAAAAAAATAAGATCCTTCTTGCAAGTGCTTGCTAGTTCTAAGCTCCAGCCTCCTTACAGAATCTCTGCTTCCAGTTGTCCAGTCCAGTCATCCAGCAGTAGTAAACCAAACACCATTACGTTCATTCTGGGCAGCATGCAGGCAAATCAGTCTGCAGTAGCAATGTTTAGATAATGTAGTAGCTATCATCACGGTAAGAATCCTCCTCAGAGTTCTCATTGTCACAACTCCTCGTCGACAAGACGGAGTAGATGGAGGAAATGACAGTGTTGTCATTGTCCGTGGCTAGGTTCACCAACACATTCCGTTTCTCTGCATTCAAAACACATGGATAGAAAAATTAGCAGACAGCCATTCTACTCGCACACACCGCTAAATTACTAGTTCTCTTTGAGACTTAAAGTTTCCTATTGTCAGTTTGCAATAGGTCTTTCAAGCTGCATCCCATGTTCTTTTTTTTTTTTTCCCCTCAATTTTCAGCTTTAAAAACTTCCCAAGTTGTTCTTTTAATTTCCCATATGTCTTTTCCTGTTAAGATAGCACAGGTGACAAGGAGACATCCAGCATCCCTTCACTGGTGCACAAATAGCAAGGAAGTGGCTGGCTAATACAGGGTCTTGCCAGGTAAGAAAGGGGGAAGGAACAAAATGTGATAAAGGGCCCTCAAACTTAAGTAGCCTTTTTTCAGGACACCCTTAAGGACCCATCAAGACCTCCACATAAAGAGTACAAATTGTCCCAGGGTGTCTGTTATACTAAAGCTCATTATCTGGCTGTGCTTCCAAAGTACTACCTGCACCATCGTTTCCTTTTCAGCCCATCTTACAGCTGGTTTCTTCTTAGGAGTGTATGTCTAACTAGACATATGGCTACCTTCACCTTATTCAAGATGTGTCCATCACTGAATAAGACAACCACATGGAAACAATTCATCCTTCCCCCTGAAGCGTATCATGGTGAAACTATATGAATTCTTACTAATAATCATTATATATAATTAGAGTGTCTATCACAAACAAGCAGGAAGATCACTGGTTTACCGTATGGAAATGAAGTGGGTTCCAATGAAGGCACCACTTCATCCAACCACCATTAGCTACCAGATGAGACACTTCAACAGTGCTATGGCATACTCTGCAGAGGTGCATATTATGCAAGAGCAGTGTCAGTTCTGCAGAGGTGAAAGCAATCCATGAAGCAGGGCTGGACAGACTCTGAGAAGTGTAGCATTTCCTGAGGGAATCAGACTGAGTTGGTTAAATAGGTGATGAATTCAGGTTAGAACTGACACTGTTTAACGATGTCATTCTACGTCACCATGGAGGATCTGCAATATTTCGAAAGCACCTTTCATTAGGAAGGTCTTCAAAGGGCTTGACTTTGCAAATAAAAGATCATGCACTCACCTCTACATGGGGAAAACAACACAGTTACTTAAGGGAATACAGTAACAGAAATTTGTTAAGAGGCGGGTAGTAGGAAAAAGACTTCTACATTTCAGCACCTAGATACCAGCGTTGAGTGCTCTAGAAAACAATTTGCAAGATGGAAGAAGAACAGGAATACCCCATATTGGAATTTTGCTTAGAGCCCTTACAGTCATAAAGAGCCTTTTAGCTACAACTAGGCAAGAGGTTGTGTGTTCGAGTCACAGTGGTAAATTCAACAACAGCTCATAAGGGAGATCAATGACCAGTTCCGCCACACGCTTACATGACAGACCAACGTTCCCTTCACAGATCTCCTAGGTATACCTAAGACATACAAGAGAATTCTGAGTTTCTCACCAGGCATTGCTCTGCTAGTTTTCAAACTGATGTAGTCAATAGTTTAATCAATCAGAAGGCATCTGGTAAATTTTTCAAGGCCCGCTCTGTATGGTTTTACTTTTCTTTAGAGATCTCTTCAAAACAGCGTAACCTTCAGTATAGTTAAGTCATCCCACTGGACTGCTGAATTGACACTGAAGTCTTTTTCTAGACTTTTTATTCATTTTAATTTACTGTATAGTTAAGCTAGTTGTACAGTACACCTTAAAATTATTTCCCAATCTTAATTTCTGATGAATCTACCAATAAGGGATATTAAGCCTCATACACAAATACAAGGTCATTTTCCAATACTGCTTCTGCTTTTCTTGAGCATCTTTGTAGTATATAGGTGCCAAAGAAACTTCTACAAAATATATGGAAAGAGAGAGTGTACTCGTCATGCCACATCCACCCACCTCTCACCTTTCCGCTCTCTGATAAGGGCAAGGCGACGGTCTTTCATTTCCGCATCCAGTTTTTCTACCATCCTGTCAATGCAGTTGTCCAGCACCAGAGAGCGTGTCTTCGATTTAATCTCTTGCCTGCAGATAGGGCACTCCACTTTACGTTTCGTCCACTCATTAATACAGTAGGAGCAGAAGCTGTGCGCACAGTTCAGAGTGACTGCCTGTGAAATTCAAGGGAGGGGTACTTATCAGAGCACACTCACATTAGCTGTGAGTAATGGGGAAAAAAAATGAAGTCAGAAAGGTGTCATGAATACTTCCTATGAGTGAAAGGTGTGGGGCAGCAGGGAGAGGAAATCAAAGCCTCTTTCTATAGCCTCCCTAAAAAGAGAGCCTTTTCTATAGCCTCCCTAGGAGTTATACATGGCTATATAGAGCACCCCTCCCAGGCCAGAGTTCAGACAAAGGCTTTCTAGGCTGGTTAATGGATTCATCCAAGATCACAGCAAGTTTGTGAGGAAGACGGAAAGAATACCATTAGAAGTTTCCCCAGTCTGAGAAGGACAAATTACGGAAAACCTTAGACACCGCGGAATAACATCTTAAACTACTGAAAAATCGAAAAATGAAATGCCAACTAGTTCTTAAGCCAATAGAACAAAGCTAACCCGTCAGGTTTCCAGTAGCAGAAATGAACGTAACGAAATTGAAATTCTAGCAAAACAGGAACAAAATAGTAGCCTACATTTCAGGCATAGCCTGCATTAATACCTCTAGAATCAAATGAAAACATCTTTCTTTCTCAAGAAACAGAATTTATCTGAACACAAGTGGTTCAGAACTTGATTGAACATTGCATCTCTCTTCCTTTAACAACCCTCTTCCTATATCTAGGCCAGAAGCAGTCTAACCGCAATCAACTTAAAGCAAGGTCTACTAAAAAATGACTTTTCCCAGAGCAGGCTATTGGCAAAAACTCAGACCACTAGTTCAAAATACACACTTAACTGCTGCAAGCCTGCACACATCTTAGGAGCAAGCACTCATCTCTGTGTAGGTAGAGACATTAAAGCAGAACTTGCTGCCCAGAAGAAGGGTTAAGGCAGAAAGACTAGGATTCGGGGCTAGACCTCACCCACAAGTCATCCATTGAGACTGTTAATCTATCAAAGTAAAGAAACAAGTTTGACTACTGCTTTAACAGAGCTAGTGAAAGCTCCTCAAGTTTCTTCTTTCCTTTACTGGCAAAGCTATACTGGTTTAAACATACCTCAATGAAGTGCTCAGAACAGATTGTGCACTGCAGTTCATTCTCCAACACATCGTTCATCTGATTCAACACCTCTTCCTTCTGAGCTCTCACCTTTTCCTTCTCCTCCTAGAGGAAAAGCACTTCTGGTCACATATTAAAGAACAAAGTTTTACTTAACATAATAACGGCGTCGAGGGACGAAGATAGCCAAGGAGAAAAGCACACAACCCCGAGTCCTCTCATGTAAAGTCTGCATCTATTATACATGCGGATCTGAAACCTTTCTCTCCTTTGCAATCACGGCAGTACTGAGAATACTCCCACCCGCTGTAGAGAACTTACAAGCAAGAGCAGCAGCCATTACCAAAGTTCCCTTCAGCCTAAAGGGGCTACAAATTGGATCAACCTTTTCAAAATCTCTTTCAGCCTCTTCCTGGGATGAGTTTGGCTTAAGTCAAAGGAAAAATTCGTTTGATGTCTGATGTAAAGGACAGAACACCCAATCAGCTAAAATAAAATAAAAAAAAGTAACCTTGAGAATTTAAAATGTTTCCTTGCATTTAACTGCCCAAGAAAATTTGTTGTTTGGAGTTGAATTAGGCTTCTAGGCACTGGCTCTACCTTCTAAAAATAATGAAGGAATTCTTCCAAATGAAGCTACACTTGAAATAACAACAGAGTTGCAAAGGAGACAAAAACCCAAAGCAAACAACGAGAGGTGGGAAATGAGATAATTTCCAAGAGTAAGACACAGCAAAACATCCCCTTAATTATTTTCCACTCATCACCTTGTGCCAAGGACAGGAAGCAGTGTGGCTTGGTTCATTCGTTATTGAAATTCCATGTTATTTCAATCCCTTGCAGGACTGCTGGAACAAACTGCCCTTTTAACTGAGCGCACTCTAACGGAACATGAAGTACCCCACCTTTCAAATCACTCAGCTTTTCTCTTTTTAAAGAGAAGGTGGAATGGGTCCACTTCTCTTGCACAATACATAGTTCAGGTGCTCTGTGCTCTCTTAAGAGACTGAAAAATATCTGATCATGACTGTTTAGTACTTTGTAAACAGATCTTTTGTGCAAGAACCCCTCCCCAACTCCCCCCAAACACACACACACACACACACACACACACCCCCAGGCTTCTGGAAACCAGTCAGCTGCCATCTCAGAATATCAAAGTAAAGAACTTTTTCACTACAGGAAGCAATCCACAGCCAAGGCAAATGTTAAATAAACGATTTCCTCTGCTGCAGCATATTGTGTTTCAGTTATGAGTGAAACTGAGAATTCAATTTTATTCCTTACCTTGGTTTCTTCTAGTTCTTTATTCTTGGCTCGAATTATCTCCTCAAAGTCTTTTTTACTACGGCTCAGTTCTTCCATCAAAGCACGATGCTGTAACAATACCATCCAAGAAATAAGAATGTGATTATAAGCTAGCCTATTAAATATACGTAGCTTTAATCATGAGGCTCGGCATACTCATTTCTGCTAATCCTCCCCTAAAAAGGGCAACGTATGCCTGTATGAATTAAGGTGTTAACTCAGAGGTAGTTTAGCCTTCACTTAAAATTAAACAGTTATTTATGACCTTCCCAATGTCATGGCACTTCACACTCCCTCTCCCAGGTCATTCTTCCTCTGTGCATCACTGGTCACCTCCTCTTTTGCTGTGCTACAAAGGAAGAGTAAACCGCCACTGTTCTTCAAGATAAATTAAGCAAGGCATATGTGCCAGGCAATCAGGCATGTGGGGAAAAAGGCATAAAGCGTACAGCAAATAAGCTCACGCTGTTAATGATAAAATTCACTGCAGAACACAGGAGTAAAAATTAAAATTTGCCAATGAGTGGCACATATGAGGCACTGCAGAACCAGCCTGTCTACCACACAATGGGATAAAGATTTCTCTTCCCAGCATTTCCAAACTTCTGATATACCAGTTCCCTAAGGACAATCAGGATAGACTTACTGTATTTTGTATACCTGTAATTGAAGTTGGAGCTTACACAACACTAGGCTCTACGAGAAACACTAATAACTATAAACTAGCTTAACTAGTTGAGAAAAATCTAAAAAAGTTATAGGAAATTTGGTTTCTGCCTTCAGTACTCAAATAACCTAAGAGTTTTGATCTGGCAGCATCGCCACACTTAGCCCTAGCTGCCCAGGTAACGCTAGTTTAATGAGCATATAAGACATCCGTAATGAAAACGGACAGCTATATACAGAAACCCTGACGTCTGTCACCCTCAACCCCACTGGAGACTATTCCTCACCACCACACAGATGCTATGGCATTGGGGAAAATCTGCAAAGAAGAAACAGACAACCACTCCACACCCATCAGAGCCACCTTACAGACGCACCCAAAGCACAAAAGGCTTTTGGCTATAAGGAGAACTTAGGAGCGCTCTACTGAGACCCAGGATGTTTCAAGCACTACCCATGCTGCAATCTCTGCCTCGCCTTCACTCTGTGCCTTTCCCTGACCTTCTTTCTTCCTAGCACTGTCTATGCTTCCCTCTTTACTCTTCTTTTTTAAGGCCCACCCTCCAACTGCAGAATTAATGACACTGGCCTCTATTGCTATGTTCTGGCTGCATGTGTTCTTTCATCTTGGCACATCTACCTAAATTGTAAACATTTCAAAACAAGGCTTGGGCCCTTGGTATGCTGTACAGGAACACAACAACTTTGCAAAAAAATCAATATACTTATTATTCTAGTCATTCAGTACAAACCTTTCAATGTCAATGAACAGCTAACTTAAGACAGGCTCTGACAGTGGGGTTAACAGGCCACTCTGCTTTGAGAGACGTGTTAAAAGTCAGGCTAGTAACTCTACTTGTTGGAGAACATTTGCAGTTTATTTTGCATTTCAGTTATGTTTTACTGTTACCATTTTGAGTGCATCTGATACGCTTGAGTATCAAGGGGTAGTTGATACATATGGATCACAAAAACCTGTCACCATGGGCGAAGCTGGCTGAAATTTTTTTAGTATTAGATGTCCAAAAACAAACCTAGGAAACCTAGGTGTGTGGCAATCTTACAAAGATGCTCCTAACCAAGAGCAAAACATTTTTCTTTGATTAAAAACACTAACATAAGCTCTCCAAAACGGGTACCGAGCACACAGACTTCACCATGAAAGAAACACCAGCATAAGGAGCAAATTCAAGTAAACATCATTACAGCTACCTAATGCTGTCAATCTGAGTGCACGTTTTCACGCTATTCGCTGGCAAAGAGCAATTCCCAAAAAGGGAGGTGTGCCACTTTCTAACAGAAATCTGCTCTGCAGATGAAGATCATTCCAGTCTGCAACTGAGGCACATTCCTAGTCTTCTACCAAAATGCCACAGCGGTAGGAAAGAGTTAAGTATCTCAGTTACACAGTCAGACCAAGCCTAGACTCTTAACTACTTGCCTCCTGCAGGACCTGGGCCAGTTGTTCCTTCAGATTCTCTTCCCCATGTTGCCACTTTACTCCCTGAGAAAACAAAACAAGACTTATCTTACTGGAAGAAAGTTTTTGAAATAAAATAAATAAATAGATAAATAAATACATAGACTTTAGAAGGCAATGGACAGAAAACGACACTACTTTACACTCTCTCTTTGGAGGATATGCCTAAAGAAGCACCACTAGTATTCAGTGAACCCATGAGAAGTCCCACTCTACTCCTTCATGGATTCTACAGAAATTAGGGATATCGTTTATTGCAAAGAGTTTAAATGGATATATCCTTCAGGAGTCGCATACTCGGAACACCTCCAAATTATTCTAGCTCTAATGGCACCAGAATGTCCACAGAAGCAGAGGTCAGCAAAAGCTTAAACATGAAAAAAAGCCATAACCCCATCCGTGAGCACATTCAAAGAGGCCAGACATACCTATAGTTCCAGCTGAACTTCCCTTTGGGCCTAAGCACGCCACTCCGGATTTCCTGTACTTCTGATATAGCTACCTTGACTTTAACAGCAGGCTTCAACAGAAGCAATCGATAACTCCAACATAAACTCACTCCAAGATGAATTCCTCCCTACATTTAAACTGTTTTGAACAAACTCACATAGAAAGGTAAACTTTGTTTGTTCTCTCAAAGAGTTAGTTACTAGCATATAGATGTTGCTTGAAGACACTTGCAGATTGTAAATGAGGGGTTTTGCAAGTAAGAAAAAAAATCCCTTCCCCAAGCAACCTGTATTAAAAGATTAAGCATATAGTGAGTCACTTGCTTGGAAAGAGAACGGATTTCCCATGTGGCTTTAGCTTTGATACTTGTCTTCTCTGTAAACACAGGAAACTAGGCAGAGATTTTTTAATTTGATACAGAAGACTAGCCTTCTGACTAAGAGAAATACTCTACTATCCTGCTGTAATGAAACTCTCTTAAGGCTGAGAAGTACCATTCAAGAACTCATTTTGGATCAATGCCTTATATTAGTCATTCCATAAAAAAACAGACCAGATGGACTGAAAAGATTATCACCATTATACCTCTAGTTTCTGCTGCTCTTTAGAGAACGTCTTCTCCAGCTCTTCCACCTGCTTCTGATGCTGCTCTTGTTCTAGGTATAACTGGTCCTGCAGCTCCTGCAGCTCCCGTTCCATTGCCAAGATCTCCTTCTGAGCACATTTCCTGCGCTTCTGCTTCACATTCAAAACTGCTGTCTGCTTCTCCTGCACTTTGACTTTCAGCTTCATTATATCTACCAGTGTTTTCCTCAGCATTTCCAAGCCAGTCCAAGACTGTGCAAGACCAGAGCTCTTCTGGTCCTTACAGGTGACAAATGCAACTTTTTCAGAGTGCACGGGTCCACTATCCTCCTCACTTGGTCCGGGAGAAGACAGTTTGACATCCATCTTCTCTGTTATCTGTTTGGCCTGTTCTGCCCTTCCCCATGATTTACCCAGAAGTTCACTGTCACAGGACACTCTGTCTCTTTTGGATCTGGAATCTGAAGGGCCTTCTGATGCAGATGTCTCCGATTCCTCCAAACTAAATTTACGTTTAGTTCTTGAACTCTTAGTTTTCCCTAGGTCATTCCTTTGAGCTAGAAAGGGTCTGATTTTCTCCCATTCCTCCTTGATTACTTCATACTCATATTCAGCAGTCTCTCTGTTTTCCAAAGGCACTCCTAACTGGATACGGTCTCCTTCAGCTATAGGATAGGCTTTTAAGGGATCCAGGCGCTGTTTATTAAGCCAGACTCCATTTAGACTCTGCAAATGGACAGAAACCAACAAGATTCAATATACACTTGCATAGAGCCCTCAACAAGCTATTTCTGGCAGTTGTGAACATATCACGTCTCTTCAGTGTTGCAATCAGAATGAGCTACCTCTTTAAACAGATCTTGCAATATCCAATTTATTGACTTAGTGTCCCATTTCCTACAGTCATTACATTATATTATTTATAACACCTTATTACTGCATTATGGATTTTGTGTACAACCACTAAGAATAAGATGACTTTAAGTACTTGTGCAGAAGGAAAAGAATGAACTCTAAGGGAAAAAAACATCCAGAAGCTTCAGGAAACATGAACTACACAACAGAAAAGACTCCACAATAGATTATTGACAAGAATGTAGAATATTGCAGTAATTAAAAATCAATTAAAAAAAATTAATGTTACCAGAAATCCCAGAAGAAAATAGAAAAGAAAATGGAACACTGGTTAAAGGGGGGGTGGGGGGGGAAAGAGAGATGAAACAGTTCTCCATAAACACAAGAACATAAAAAAGAAGGAAAAAGATCTTCTAGATATGTTGTTCAAAGCAGAAAAGAGGTTGCTACCTTAGGCACTAGCAGAAGAAATAGTTTCAAAGAACAGTAAAACTGAGCTGTGTTCAAGATGAACTATAGAACCACCAGCAACTGACATATCCCAAATATATTCAGTAAGACAACTTGGTAAAATGGTAGCAGTGATAACACAGACATGTTGATAGTTAAGCTACCATAGGTGCTTCCAATCATGTAAAAACTGAACGTTTTCGAGTTTTTTACATCTGTCAGAACAGAGCCCTGTTTAAAAGGAGGGCAATTTTAATAGTAGCCACTCCATTCCTTCAGGGCTTATCTGTTGTTGACTCAAAAATGCTTTAAAGCCTGCATGACTTGTTCAACACTGATTGTTCTTTTAGTGTTGTTTTCAAATAAGTTCCTTTAAAAAAAAAAACGTTTCCCTCCCGAATGAGAAAGTAGAAAGACCACGATATAAAAAACAGATCACTAGTGAAGTCAAAATGAAAGCTAGTTGAGGACTCTGATCTCAATACTTGGCTCTAATCAGCTGAGAAGAGATTCCAGGAGAAACTCCTTTGACTGAACATTACACGAAGCATGTTTATTCTAACATTAAATTCTCATGATAATTGATGCCAAAATTCCTTTAAAAGAGTGTAACGCAAAGCAGGTTCATAGACTGCAAAACGCCTTGGGCAAGATTGTAATTGCCTGAAAAATGGTAGACTACGAGACAAATTTACATACAGAGAGCAGCAAGCTTTGCATCCCAACTGTAGCAGACTGAAGTTTCCTGCTACAAGTGCACAACAGGAGAGACACGATCCCAAGGGCCTTTTATCATTTTTATACTCCATTATATCATAGATCATACATTGTTTGAACTCAAACAAGGCATTCTCTTCAATGCACCTTAGAATACAAAGTCTCCAATCCATCTCTGTACCTTGTTATCCTTGACAGTCCACTGCCCTTCTGCATTTTGCTGGAAAACACAGTGCTTACGAGAGATCATCAAGGGACAGGTTTTTGACACCAGCTGGTAGGTGAGATCTAATCCTCGGCCTATAGATACCTAAAAATAAAGTAGTTTAGTAATTGCAATCAGCAACAACAGAGTAAATTCAGTCTATATGGTCTGAACTTAAGTATAGCAGCAATCTTTCTTTTACAGCTGCTTCCCTACAGAGTTAGGATAATACAATGATTACCACAGTTCTTCACAAACCTCCCACAATTTTTCATTTAAATCCAAGAATAGATAAAAAATGGCAACCCTCCAAAGAAGTCTCAAGAATTCTCATGCTTTCTCCTTGAGGAATGTTTGCTTGCTCCAAGGCACTTTTCAGCCTTGGTTTCACGGAAATTTTTTTCAGCAGCAAAGCTGGTCAAAGTAGTTCTCACTCCATCCAGCCCTCCATCATATTCATTACCTGACAAAACACCATTTCTGCAAACAGTACAACTGTTTGTGGTTCCCACAGAGCAACAAACTGATCAAGATTACTTCTTACTCTTTTCTTTGACTAGCTGCATCTGTTCAACTGTTGTAAACAGTACAGCCTAGAAAACTGCTACCCAAAAGCGTGAATGTAACCATGCCCTAAGCATGCAATACTTCTGTAAATCACACCATCAACATTAGGGCTCAGAAACTAAGCTACATGCCATTCATAACCACTAGTGAAGGTGATCTAAATAATCTGATTAGAATCTCACAGTACCTTCCGGAAGAAGAATGGACAGAATTTGTAATGGTACTACTTCACAATACTTTATCAAAAAATATGATCTAATTGCAGGCTGCCATTTAAAGCATGGCTTTGCTCTCCCTCTCTCCACTGCCTCCTCACGTGATCTGATAGTCGCAGACATTTCTTATTCATTTGTGTGTTGCAGGGAAGTAATTTCTTTTAGAAAGGACAAGTTTTCAGCCAGTTTACCATGTAATTAGACAACTGCATGAATCCAATGCAATAGATACAAGAACGTGCAGCCAGAAACAGCAGGACAATACACCATTTAGCAGAAGCCCACAGTAAAATCAGACTAGGCATATTATAAAAATACAACCTAGTCTGTATGTCTTAGATGAAAACTGCCCCCTTTTTCCCCCTGCAATTCCAACTCTTTTGCATCACACCTTCCAATTCCTACAAGAAGAGGGCAAGATCCTGCAGCCAAGGAAAATTAATTTACTACATGTTACGTGAAACAGTCCCATCCTTCAAGTTGAAAGCAAGGGCTCAAACTCCCACATCGTAACTAAATGCAAGGAAGCTAACTAAGATCAGGAAAGCAAACTGAACCACAGAATTCCCTACCTCTTAAATGCTTCACATCTCTTAATGTTCTGTCAACATGGGTTGCTTCTGCAAGATGAAGATGATTCTCAAAATGAAGATGATTCTCTACCACCACCTTCCTGTCTGCCCCATACAGCTCCCTCCATATCAGCAAGAACTTCAGGTGGATTCAGTTATACACACAACTTTGCTTTTGTCTGTGCAGAAATGCCTAAGCCACATCAACTATTATTAGTTCTCGGTCATGCACGTCTTGTGGCCTAGAGTGCCAATACAACCAAGACTGCGTAGAGCCAATCATAAAACTTCCCCTCGCTAACGTTCGTTGAGCAAAGAGCAACAGCCGTGGGGTTTCAGACGTTACCGCTTGCCTGCTAGAGTTCATCACTGCCACAACATAACGCACCCCCATACCTATCAGCAATACAGTTTGACACCACCATTTAAAGCCCCAGTGACAGCACTTGGAGCCAACGTGCCAGACTGTAAGCTGGTAAGCCTTAAGCACCAGCCACACATTTACTCCGTTGCTTGTGAGAGGGAGGGTAACAGTATGCCAATAACTAGGGTAAAAACACGTAAACAAGATTCTCCATCCAATTACCAGAGCCCTTATTGCAAGTTTTGCAACTCCACTACTCAGTTCCTTAGCTGAGCACACTTACACCCCTGCTGGCTTCAAATCCATGAGTGAAAGTAACACATCGTACATCTGCCTAAAGATCTGCCTAGCGTTTAAAGATGAATTAGCAAGGGTACCTTGTGCAAGGCATAAGCACAAAGGAATTAACTACAGTGTGAACCCACAACATTTAACTGCCTGCTTTTGACCATAAAAACTGCAATCCTCTTGTAGCACCGTATCTTCAATACGGTAATTTGTCATCTCACTTCAAGAGTAAAAAGATCTGTTTTGGCTTTTTAACTAAAAAAAAATGATAACAGAAGAAAAGCTTATACCTATGCCATTCTGAAACATAACTGAAATGGCTGAAAATACTGGCTGTGTTTACACTTGAATAACTTTAGCCACTAAAACTAAATATGTCACATATTGCTAACCTCGCCAGAGCATCACGGTATTAATTAGGCTAAGGATTTTTTTTTTCTTACGTTACCATTATCACACAAACAACTTCTGCTTAAACATGACATCACGTTAAAAAAGTTAACGTCTGAAGACATAGCACATTAAGTTTAAACCTCTGATCTCAAAAGCAGCACCCCGCTTTCTGCTCCCTTGCAAGTTACTGGCGTTGAAATAAACTGGTTGTAATCGGGGGGAGATCGGTCTTTAAGAAAGCGCAGAAATACCGAGCAACGCTTCACCAAGACTGCTTTAGGGGAAATAATTTATAAACTGGGATTAATGACCGGCTCTTCTGAATAATAATTAACAACTGCCGCTCATTAGCCTAGATAGCTTCTTTTTTTTTTCTGGAAAGCGCATTAGCGAGTAAACAGGCTCTCAAAACAGCACACTCCCACAGTCACCCGCCCGCCCCCCAGCCGGGGCTCAGCGAGAGGCGGGCCGC